GGGGGGGGGGGGGGGGGGGGGGGGGGGGGGGGGGGGGGGGGGGGGGGAGAGTTTGCTATTATCTTCTTGCCGCTTTGGGCCTTTTTTGTTTTCTTTCCTTCTTGATTTCTTGAAACACGGGCAAGACGCGAAGGCCGTGGAACGCCTTACGCTCGCTCCGAGTTAATGGATTTGCATGTTTGGGGTGGGGTGGGGAGAGGGGACACGGACGTAATTTGATAGTGGGAAATCAAAAAGGCACAACCGTCGGGCGGTGGATGGCGGTCGTATCTAGTTAATCCTTATGCCTTTGATTGCGCTGCCAAACATTCGACGGACGAAACCAGGTGAATCAATAGTGGCAAGTGAGGGGCCTCATTGCTCAACCGACGTTTAGCTACAGAGGGTCGGCCCTCATTTACCAGAGACGATTGCACTCGTTGCAGACCGCCGTTGTGGAAACCAACGACCTCAGTCGTTGCGCTGGAACGTAAAGAAACTAATTTGATTACGCCGCGATAAGTCGTCACCCCGCCCCCTACCCTGCCGTCTCGCCCCCGTGGCCACCTGCATGAAACATAGAAGCAAAACAAGCGGTGTCGTATTGCGGCAAACAAAAAGTAGGACACAAACCTCTCTCCATGTTGTCATGAGGGCAAAGGCACCAACACACGGGGCACTTCAGCCGCATTACGCCCCCATGTCTCCCATCCGTTTCAAACAAGCAACACAAAAGGCAAAAACTGAAGGCTGCTTTGGTTTGTCTTCACATCTCGTCAGTTCGAAATACATGTAAGTTCGCTGTGGCGAGCAAAACTGACCACCAACCGCTTCTTTTCATTCCCCTGTGCAGCCTCGGCGGCCCTTTCGGTCCGAGGGCAACTCTGTACATCATAAGTAAAAACAAATAAATGAATAAATAAATTGCTGGAAGGACCCACGACAGGAACCGTGGAAGGCAAGGTCCGTGAATAGTACCCCTACTCCTCTGCAATGCACATGGGTAAGCCAAGGAGGGACACCCTAACGACCGAAAAATATAAATAGTAAAAACAATTGGCATCACGAGGGAAGTCACTCTCGAAACGCCGCATACCCCCTTCCACAAACCCTAAAGCACTGACGCCCTTCCTAAACAAGCGAAAAATGGAACAGCAACGTAGAAAACGAACACGGCACGCGACCCACATTCGGTGCACGGCCCTGCCCCCCCCACCTCCCCCCGCTCCCAATCCAATGCCCTCTCCCCGCCTCCGCCGTGCTAAGTTGTCCGGCTCTGCGTTTCCCGCTATGCCCTCCCGACAACGCAAGCGCCAGCCATAAACGCCTGCCACCCCCTGAGTTACGGTGAATGTTGTAGCTGGGCCGCCACTGCTTCAACTGCACAAGGAGCTCCCGCAGTGCTGCGCGCGTAGGAGTCTCCCCGCTTCTCGATGGTTGCTTCTTCTCGGCGTGAAATTCGCTGGGCAGTACCCCCTTGGGGGACACCACCGGGCGCCCCCTGCCGGACTCCTCGTCCTCCTCCGACAGGTGGACCGGCGTCACATTCTCATCCCGCAGGAAGTTGTGGAGGTGGAACAGGGCGGTGATGAGCTGCGTGCGCCCGGCGAACTGGACCCGCAGCGGGCGCCACAGGATCCCCCACTGAGAAACGAGAATGCCGAAACTCTGCTCGATCTTGACGCGAAGTTGGCTAAGATGGAAGTTGAAGCTGTCCTCGCCGGCGGGCAGGTTCTTGCCCGGATACGGGGTAAGCAAATGCTCGCTCAGGGGGTACGCAGCATCGCCCAGGACGAAGTATCCTTTCGGGAGACGGCTAACAGCACGGGAGAGCTTGGAGCGATTCCATGCGGCCCAGTCGTTCATCGCGCCGGGCGTGATGGCGGATATGCTGGTAAAGCGGTAGTCAGCGGTGCACATCGCCTGCACGTTGATGCCATACGCACACTTCTGCCCGGAGTAGTAGCCGAGGACGTTAGCGGTGTCCCAGGCGGACGGTGCGAGGGTTTTCACGAACAGGCCGTCCACGCAAGCGACACAGAAGGCGAAGATGCCGTTGGTGCTCTTCCGCTGTCATTACGCGCGAAGAGCAAGGACAACATGACGAAAGGGGCAGGACAGCGAAATGATCGTCAATGCGAAACAACATCGGACTCTTCCATGCACGCGCACATAGGTTTGCAAGGAATTCAAAAACCAGAGGTAAATAAGCCGCAAAGAATCATGGCAATTACATCCCCCCCAGGGCGGGATGTTGCCGTTCAGCGGGGAGCTAATATTGTTGGCCAAAACGATCTACCCCGTCCAAAATTTGCATACTTGCCGGCCGAAAAGGTAGTAGGGGGGTCGTAGATACGGTAGGTCAGTAGTTGATTCTAGGCTTGTATCGGGTATTGTATAAGAGCGGACATGAACTGAACTTAGTCACGGGTGACGCAACCGACGTACTACTTACATGGACAGATACAAGATTCGCCGGTAATGCTAACCCTCAGGAGAACGTCGTTGAGTCACACACACAAGAGTTGGTCTCTACCCAACGATGCGCCTTTGCGGCTGATTCTCTCTCGCCAGCACAATCGAAACGCTGCTCTATTCGGGCTCTTGCGTTGGTCTCCACACGAGGCATGTAACCTATCCTCATTCACGTATTTGTCGCCAAAACATTCCTTACTCCCTGGCGTTCGTTCATGTTACTACCGGACATGTAGCCAGTCGAATAGCAATCACCCCAAACTACGCTCAGGGGATTCGTGATGAGCGAGGGGAGGGGGGGGGGGGGGGGGGGTACTCATAGTCGTGCATGCCGTAGTCGTTAGACCATTGACCTCGCATCCCTACAAAGCCGGGACGGAGCACGCCGGGTTCTCACCGGACCAGGCTCTCACATCACCAAGCGCGAAGCGCCGTGAGATATTCGGCGAGTCGCGTGAAGGGGGCGCTGCATCCTGCCAAGGGCGTTCGGCATCTTGTGCTTACTTCCTTGCATACGGATGACAGCTGCGTATGACTTATATTACTTTCTGGTCCTTTCACTTCCGGAGCCAGTTGTAAGCACTGTGTAACTGCCTCGAGGGGGCTTGACCATTTTAACACAACGTGGTGCGATCATCCCCCTTGCGCGGAGCGAGGGTTCTCCACCCCGCGCAACATGATCTACTCGCCCCCCATTATGGTTACCGCCAAAAAAAAAAACGGAGGTAAAAAAAAAAACGGTAACCTGGTTGCCGAGTTCACGAAGTGAATTGGCTTGTTTTACAACGTCGTTGCCAAGCGACGAAAACCCACTCCCGATGGCAAACACCGGGGGGGGGGGGGGGTACTCATAGTCGTGCATGCCGTAGTCGTTAGACCATTGACCTCGCATCCCTACAAAGCCGGGACGGAGCACGCCGGGTTCTCACCGGACCAGGCTCTCACATCACCAAGCGCGAAGCGCCGTGAGATATTCGGCGAGTCGCGTGAAGGGGGCGCTGCATCCTGCCAAGGGCGTTCGGCATCTTGTGCTTACTTCCTTGCATACGGATGACAGCTGCGTATGACTTATATTACTTTCTGGTCCTTTCACTTCCGGAGCCAGTTGTAAGCACTGTGTAACTGCCTCGAGGGGGCTTGACCATTTTAACACAACGTGGTGCGATCATCCCCCTTGCGCGGAGCGAGGGTTCTCCACCCCGCGCAACATGATCTACTCGCCCCCCATTATGGTTACCGCCAAAAAAAAAAACGGAGGTAAAAAAAAAAACGGTAACCTGGTTGCCGAGTTCACGAAGTGAATTGGCTTGTTTTACAACGTCGTTGCCAAGCGACGAAAACCCACTCCCGATGGCAAACACCGGGGGGGGGGGGGGGTACTCATAGTCGTGCATGCCGTAGTCGTTAGACCATTGACCTCGCATCCCTACAAAGCCGGGACGGAGCACGCCGGGTTCTCACCGGACCAGGCTCTCACATCACCAAGCGCGAAGCGCCGTGAGATATTCGGCGAGTCGCGTGAAGGGGGCGCTGCATCCTGCCAAGGGCGTTCGGCATCTTGTGCTTACTTCCTTGCATACGGATGACAGCTGCGTATGACTTATATTACTTTCTGGTCCTTTCACTTCCGGAGCCAGTTGTAAGCACTGTGTAACTGCCTCGAGGGGGCTTGACCATTTTAACACAACGTGGTGCGATCATCCCCCTTGCGCGGAGCGAGGGTTCTCCACCCCGCGCAACATGATCTACTCGCCCCCCATTATGGTTACCGCCAAAAAAAAAAACGGAGGTAAAAAAAAAAACGGTAACCTGGTTGCCGAGTTCACGAAGTGAATTGGCTTGTTTTACAACGTCGTTGCCAAGCGACGAAAACCCACTCCCGATGGCAAACACCGGGGGGGGGGGGGGGTACTCATAGTCGTGCATGCCGTAGTCGTTAGACCATTGACCTCGCATCCCTACAAAGCCGGGACGGAGCACGCC